GAGCATCTCCGCAGAGTACTACTGCCCCAGGTGACAGAGATAAGCAGAACACAGAGCAGCCTGGGGAAGACCTAGTCACCGGCCTCCCTCCTCCCTTTTCCCTCCTGCAACTGGGGGCAGCTGAAGCTCAGCTGGTGAGTGTGCCAGGAAAGTGGCAGGTGCTGCCTTCAAGGGCGGAGGGGGCAGATGGAGACCCCACCCCCCACCCCCTCAGCGGCAGCCTGTCTAGTTCCAAGCTCCTTTGGGGCTTTTAAACAATTGAGGGGAAAAGAGTTTTCAAGACTCCTGGTAGCCATGCTGGATGTGGGCAGCCAACTGCGAGAGCCGACATCTGAGCCATCTTTAAGGCGGGCAGAAACAACCAAACTTAAACTCGCTTCTGCAGAGTTTATAATATCCTTACTCAAATATTTATTTTAAACAGAACATAAATACACAATAAAATGTTTTAAGTGAAATCGAAGCCTTATATGATACCGCCTTGGAACATTAAGAGAAATATTGGTGAAATTTAAATAAAGTCTGCAGGTGAGATAATAGTATCGTATCCGGACATCGTTTCTCCTGTTCGCTAATTGTGCTATCGTTACATATGTTGCTAAGTGAGGGGGAAGAGGCTGAAGGATTGATGTGAGCTCTCTGTACTGCTTTTGCATCTTTCGCTTAAAATTATTTCAAAAAAGTTATTTCGAAATGCAAAGATAAAAACTTAATCCTATGGACCTTGTAGCTCTCTTGTTAAGTTTTAATTCTAGGCGCTATATTTGCTATCGTTAATGGGGGTATTTTCTTCCTTTATATAATTAGGATAGTCTTTTACATAGAAGAACTATTGATTTTTGTACATTAATTCTCCTCCTGTAACTTTCTAAATCACCCTACTTTTGTATCTATTTTCAGGTGATTTATTGGGTTTGCATATAGAATCATACAATCTGTAATTGGTTGTGGTTCAATCTCCTCTCTTCCAATTATTACACTTCTAATTTATTTATCTTTTTTAGCTGTATTGACTAACGCTTCCAATATTTTGATAAAAATAGCAGCAGGAGTCATACCTGGCATTTCCCTGACTTGCCCTGAAACGATTTTACTATGTCCATGTTAAGCATCACGGCTTCCTTTGGCCCGAGAGACACACATTATGTCAAAGAATTGTCTGACCCTTCTTATTTATCGATTGTACACGGGGTGCATACATAGCTGCAGGGCCCAGCTGCAGGTGAGCGTAGCGGTGCAGGCCAGTCACAGAGACGGGTTTTTTTTTGGGCCCACGAGCAGCATTGGGGGTCTTGGCTGTCAGTGTGTGCCCCTGTGTTGTGCACACAGCAAGCAGCGGGGGATGGGGACAGGTGCACATCTGGAGGGGTGTACATGCTGGTGGGGGGTCTAGGCTGGAGTCTTGCACTTGTGCAGCTGCAGGGGCCTGGGCTGGCTGTTATGAAGGTCCCCGTGGTGGGTGGGGAGTGGGAGGGATCAAAAAGAGACGAAGGCAGCTGGCCTCTATGACACGACACCTGTGCGGTGAAAACTGGAGAAATCTGCAGGGGGTCTGTGGTGGCTGTGCTGGCCATCGGTTTCCTCAGTGGGGAAAGCTGCTGGGGTCCTCTGCAGAGAAGGTCACTGGGGACCACAGTTGCTCCAACCATGTGACAGATGCTGGTGTTACCTGCTTTCTTCCTTACTCCTACCTGTCTATGTATGTCT